TTAAGGCCTTGGTCACCTATCTGTACTGCAAATCATAGTGCCCCAAATCAGAGAGAGAGTCAGAAGGATGGTACCTGCCACAGAGGCAGGGAGTGGGGGTTGCAGGTGGGACACTGGGAACAATGGTGGTGGGAAATGGGCACTGGTGAAGGGATGGGTGCTGAGCATTGTGACTGAAATGTAATCATGCAAGTTTGTAACTGTATCTCACAGTGACCCAATAAAGCTTCTTAAAAAAAATAGGATGGGGGGAGGATGGGGGGGTGGGAGGGATACTGGGATCATTGGTGGTGGAAAATGGGCACGGTGGAGGGATGGGTACTTGATCATTGTATAACTGAAACCCAAGCATGAAAATTTGTAAGTCTACAACTGTAAGCATGGTGTTTCACTAATAAAAAATTTAAAAAATAAAATAAGGCAGTTGTCCTGGTCTGTCGTGACTGACCCTCTGCCTCCTGGCTCACACTTGACTCTGAACTCACTGAAAATGCTCTGCTGGGGCCGGAGCAATAGGACAGCGGGGAGGATGCTGGTTGTGCACGTGGCCAGCGCGGGTTTGATTCCCCGTCACCCCATGGGATCCCCTGAGCCCCTACAGGAGTGCTCCCTGAGCACAGAGTCAGGAGTCAGCCCTGAGCACTGTCGCATGTGCCCCCCCCAAATGAAACAAAACAGAAACAAACGGGAACCCCAAAACTTGGGTTTGCTGGGCTTGTTCTGGCAGGGGAGGGGGGCTTCCCACACTCCCTCGGCCCACCAGATGCAGAAAGGGACACAGGGCTGGGCGCTGGGGAGGGGACGGCCACCCACTGTCCAGGCTGGACCAGTCCAGTCGCTCCCTCTGTTGGAGGCCTAGGCCACTGCTCTCCCCTCCGCAGTGCTGGGCCCCTGCCCAGTGGCTCCCTGGACCTCCCTCGAACGGTAGGACCCCCAGAGCCACCTCTCTGCCTCCTTCCCAAGGATCCCCATGCCAGCCCCCTCGGCACAGTCAGGCTGCCTGTTCCTGGGGGCCAGCGGGCGCGGGTGTGGGGGAGCCCAGGCGGGCGCCCCCCCTCTCTGATAGGGAGGCGACAGCTGGGATTCAGGCGTTGTAGCTGCCTTGACAGCACATCCCAGAGCCTATCCCAGAGCCCGGGATGAGCAGCCCAGGTCACTGCTGGGTCAGCCCCGTCCGGACCTCCGGAGGCTGGGGCCGGTCAGTCTCCAGTCAAGCCTGGGGTCCACCGCGGGGTGTGGGCACTGGCTGCCCCTCTCTGGACACCTGTGGTCTTGCAGTCCCTCAACCCCTCTCACTAGCCTCCCCGACGTGCAGGTCTCAGGTGCGGCCACCAGGGGGAGCCCTCAGCCCGGCCGCTCACCAGCAGGGACACTGGCCTCGTCACCACAGGGGTCCTGGCACCCAGAGCAGATCAGGGGCAGTGCAGTGAGATTTAATGTGCACGTGGGGTGGGGGGTGGGGCGGGTTAAGGGGCGCGACCGGGGCCAAGGGTCCCGCCGTGTGCTGGGACGGGGTCAGGGTCTGTATCCTGAGCTAAGGAACAGAAAAGGGGTGGGATTAAAATGGGGGGGGGGGATGGCCACTGGAGGGAAATAGAAGCAGAGATTCTGGAACATTCTGGAACATTCCAGCCACAGCAGTTCCAGGGGCCGGTGCCCTTGGGCTGGACACCAGGCTGGACAGGGCCTGCGGAGAGGTGGAAAGGGGGTCTGGAGCCCCATCCAGCCATCAGCACTGCGAGGACGCGGGGACATGGGCAGGGACAGGAGGACACAGGGAGATGGGGACATGGGGATGCGGGTACACGAGGACACGGGGACACGGGAACGCAGGGCCGTGATGGGTGTGCGGGGCTTGGGCACGGCTCACACACTCTCCCTCCGTCACGTCCCCATGCAGGCTGGCCCCCACCCTGTGACCAGGTCCTCCAGCAGTGCGGTGGGTGGGGGGTCGCCTGGTGCCTGCCCGACCCCCCTCCCCCAGCTGAAGATGGAGGCCCCTGCCCCTCCCCACAGCGGCCGTAGAAGACAGGGCCAGAGCCGCCTCAGGCCACTTGCTCACTCACGGGACTCCCCTGGGCACTCCCAGCAGCCAGCCCTCCTGGGCTCACTGTCCCCCAGCCCCCCAGCCCCTCTGTGGGGGCCCCTGGGTGGGAATCACAGAGAGGGTGGCAACCAGCCCTGAGGGGAGCAGAGAGAAACGGAGATCTCAAAATACCAGCTTTATTGGATCGATGTCACATTTCCAGAAACGGCATCTAATCTCAGAAAACAACGGTTAAGTCTGCAGAAAATGCAGGTACAAATCCTCAGGAGAGCGCTACAGGAAATGACGAAGCATGTTGGGGGGTCTGCGTGGACCCCGCGAGCGAGGGCGGCACAGGCAGGGGCCCGGCACGTCCCTGGCGAAGGTTTCTTGCATTGACTTTTGCTTTGGAAGGAGGAACAGAGGAAGAACAGTGGCGTGGCGCCCAGGGCTGCCCCGACGCCCACCCACACCCAGGCGGGCGCCACGGCACAGTGCAGACCCCAAGCTTGGGGGATAAATCCACCTAGGCTCGCACCCGTGTCCTATCAAGCAACCGAAGGAGTCGTCGGCGGGGGTGGGGTGGGGGTGACGAGGCCTCAGCCCCCGGGGGTGTCGTGAGGGAGGGTCCCAGGGACTCTCAGGCCGGTCACCCCGACTTCCAGGAGCCCGGCAGCCTCACCAAAGCCCCGCGGCAAACACGGCTTTCCGGAACATTCCACGAGGAGGGGCCCACGCAGGGCCAGTGACGGTGTGTGTGGAGGGGAGGGGGTCCCTAAGCCCCCCAGCTGCTGCAGGGGAAGGAGGCGGCATGGGGGAGAGAGACGAGCGGAAGGTCACAGCATTCTGCATTTGGTGACGTTTCTCTCACCCGCATGCGTGGGGCTGGGGCTGCTGACATCGGGGACCCCAGGAGCAGCTCACAGGGGGGCGGGGGGGGGCGGGGCATCTCCCCAGGGAGGAAGACCCCCAAAAGTGGAAGAAACGCCCAAGGCCATGGCAGAGCTGCCCTCAGACCCAGCACAGACCCCACGGCAGCTACCCCTGCCTCCTGGAGCTTTGGGGGTCCCGGCAGCCGTGCCCAGGGTACCCCCCTCAGGGAAAAAGGGCTGGGGGTCAGGGTAGGGGTCTCGGAGACAACCAGGCACCATTTCCCTAGGGCTAAGGGAGGCCCCTGGGCACCCAAGGAGCCATCCAGGGGGCCCCACACCCCCCACAGGATGTTCAGCGGCCTCTGACCCCTTCGCCCAAGAGGGGACAGGAGGCCATATCCCGCTGCCCCCCGAGGACTGCGGGCTTCTGCTGGGTGAGGGTCCCACAGGATGGGCTGGGGGGGGGGGCACACCACAGCACCCCCACTGGTGCGCCCCTGTCTCCCTGTCTGCCCATGCCAGGCCCTGCTCTGGTGAGGAGAGGCCCCGAGTTCCCCCCAACCCTGGGGTGCAGCTCGGGGCCGCAGCAGATGATACCGCAGCTGCCAGGTCCGACTCCCAGAGAACCTTCCAGAATGTTTCCAATCAGAAGCATTTCAACGCTGACCAGGACAGAGGGTCCCATAGGGTGGTGCTAGACCTCTGCAAAGTCTCTGAGGGGTCAGACTCGCTGCCTGGGGGCTGGAGCGATAGTACAGCGAGTAGGGCATTTGCCTTGCACGCGGCCGACCCAGGTTCGATTCCCAGCTTCCCATATGGTCCCCCGAGCATGGCCAGGAGTAATTCCTGAGTTCAGAGTCAGGAGGAACCCCTGTGCATCAACAGATATGACCCCCAGAAAAAGCAAAACACAAAAACAAACAAACAGACTCGCTGTCTGGGACCGGCTGCCTTCACTTTCTGGAATGTTCTGGGACTGCGATTTAATGGAGCCTCGGGGCAAGAAGTAGGTTTCCTTCCTTCTCAGAGTCGTGGGGGTACTCAGAGGGGCTGGAGACACCCCACTGTAACATCTTTCCCAGATGTCTAAGGGATGGGCTGTACACCTCACTACTCACTCCAGCCACGGAAGGCCTGGGGGCCTGAGGGGGGGAGGCTGAGGGCCTAGGGGTGCTAAAGGCCAGGGAGACGGCCGAGGGCCCTGGCAGGGGGGCAAAGCACCCGGGAGTAGGAGGGAGCAGGGCCCTTCCTGGCTTCACATGGCCGCCTTCCCCAGGCTGTGCCGGGCCCCCTCTTGGAGTCCCTGAGGGGACGTGAGGGGTGGAGACAGGGGACAGAGGGGCTGAAGAGACCCGGGTGGACTCTCCTCGGTGCCCTGCAGGGGCCGGGCACCAGCTGTGCTTTGGGGAGCTGGAGCTGCCCCTGCCCAGAAGGCCCCGCCTCAGGGCCAGCAGCCTTGCAGGGGTGGGGAAGGCACCCCATGGCACCTTCCCCCTCTGCACCCCCAGGCCCGCCCCGAGGGCACCCCAGCTCCCGGTGGGCAGTGAGGAGAGGGGATGCGACAGCCAGGAGCAGGGACCCCTGGATGGTCCACGCCCAGAACAGGTCCCGCCCCCCCTCCCCTGGTGACACCAGGCCTCCTGGCTTCACAGACCAGCACGGGCTGCCGGAGGGAGGCCTCTCTCTGCCCTGCAGGAAACAAGTCTGGGACCAGCGGCAACCCGGGTCCCCTGCAGTGTTCACGGGACAGGAAGGAATTGCAGGACCCACACAGTCCGTCACAGAAGCTTCTAGAAAGGAGGGAGCCACACACACTCCCCCAGCCCTAGCTCCCTCAGTCCCTGCTGTCTGGCCCCCGCAAGGGGACTGGCCAGATGCCCGGACCCCAGCTCAGGGGGAGTTGAAAAGGGGAGGGGGGAGCGGGCATCACCGTCACTGAGGCAAGATGAAGGAGCTCAGAAAATTAAGAAGCAAAAATAAAATAAAATAAGATAAAATAAAACAAAATGTATTTGCTCAGGTGGGAGCGTGAGGAGAGTGAGCGCATCAGCCGACGGCGTCCGGGGGCTGGAACGGGCCCCCCGGCCTTTGCTCCCTCATCCTACTCCTGCCCAGCCTGACTGTCCAGCCGTGCTGCACGCGGGCACCAAGACAGAACTGCCCGCGGGCACGAGAGCTGTCCACGCCGGCCTCGCCCCTGAGGACGGAGCGGCCACTCGGCCGGAGGCTGACCCGCCCGCCGTCCAGGGCGGAGGGACTGTGTTTCCCGGCTGCCAGAGTCCGGTGCCGCAGGTCCCTTCCCTGCGCTTTTCCTGTGGGGCGCGGCGGCCCTGGGTCCATGGGCACAGCCGGCCGCCAGGGTTCCAGAAGTTTCCTTTGCGGCCAGAGTCTGCCAAGGGCGCCGCGGCCTTTACCTCTCGGCCCGGATCTTGTAGCGCAGCACAAAGTAGGCGATGAGGCGCAGAGACACGAAGAAGACGCCCAGCACCAGGAAGTCCAGGTAGAGCTTGGCGTGCTCCACGTCCAGCTCCCGCAGGATGGCCTCCGACTTCTGGAAGTGGCACGTGTCGTCCGCGTCGCAGTGCAGGTCCTCCCGGTCCAGCCCGTAGATGGACAGGATGACGCCCTCAAACCCGTACCTGGGGCAGAGGGTCGTGAGGGGCGCCTGGTCGCCAGGCCCCAAGACCCCCCAAGTGTGACCGGGGCCCTTTGCCCGCCTCTGCCTGGAAAAGCCACTAGGGGAAACCAGGGGCTGACATGGCCCCTCGCCCTAGAGAGGAGACCCCAAGCTCCACAAGCAACACGTGAACCTTGGGGACATGGGCACGCCTGGGCCCGACCCCCATAGACACACAGACACACACACACACGCAGACACGGAGACACACAGACACACAGATACACACACACAAACACATAGACACACAGATACACACAGAAACACAGACACAGACACACAGGTACACACTCACGCAGACACACAGATACGCACACACGCATACCCATGACCTCTGTGACCAACCCATGTCCCTGGCCTTGGGGCCCTGGCGTGTGCCCTCGTGTCGCATACCTGACGTAGGAGATGTAGGACATCCACTGCAGGTAGGTGGGGATCGTGTCAAAGCTGACGAAGAAGCCGGAGAACAGGAGCACAGGGATGGCCGTCACCGGGCCCACGAAGGTGGCCACCTGGACACGAACACACGCTGCAGCCCGGGTTCCCAGGGCGCACTCCCTCCTCCCCAGGACACTCTCTCTTCTCCCCAGGACACTGCCCCCCCTCCCCAGGACACTCTCCCCAAGACAATAACCCTCCTCCCCAGGACACTCCTCCTCCCCGGGACACTCTCCCTCCTCCCCAGGACACTCCCTCCTCCCCAGGACACTATTCCTCCTCCCCAGGACACTCCCTTCTCCCCAGGACACTGCCCCCCTTCCCAGGACACTCTTCCTTCTCCTTAAGACAATAACCCTCCTCCCCAGGACACTGCCTCCTCCCTGGGACACTCCCTCCTCCCTAGGACACTCTCTTTCCTCCCCAGGACACTCTCCCTCCTCCCCAGGGCACTCTTTCTCCTCCCCAGGACACTTTCCCTCCTCCCCACGACACTGCCCCTCCCCAGCACACTGAGGCTCCTTGCCCCTTCCTGCGCCCAGCAGTACCAGAATTTTTCCGTGGCCACAGCTGGCAGCAGGGAAGCCATGGGGTGCGGCCAGAGTCTCGGACCCCGGACCCCAGACCCCAGGGCTCCACAGGCGCTAAGGCTGTGGGCTGCATTCCTGCACTGGGAAAGTCCCGGGAGGGGGTCCCAGGGTAAGGGTCTCTGGGAGGGGGTCCCCAGGAGAGGGTCCCGGGACAGGGGTCTCTGGGAGGGGGTGCCCAGGAAGGGGTCCTTGGGGGGGCGCCCGCGGGGACGTACCTGCAGGGATGTGGATGCTGCCCCGATCAACAGCCCCAGCGACTGGGCCACCAGCGAGGTCATGGTGCCCAAGGCGGCGAACAGCACAAAACGCAGGGCGTCGGAGGGCTGTGACGTCATCCAGTACACGATGCTGCAGTAGGCCACGGGGAAAAGGACCTGCAGGGCGGTGGGGCCGGGAGGGGCGTGAGGGGCCGGGAGGGCTGAAAGGGGCCGGGAGGGGCTGACCTGAGGGGCAAGAGGGGAGGGCAGTGGGGGGCATGAGGGGCCGTGAGCGTGCCCGGCTGAGCCCTGCCCGCGGGCACCCACCTGGAAGGGCACGTCGGCCATGGTCTTGGCCAGGTAGTAGGCCTTCAGGCTGTACCAGTAGTTCAGGTGCTCACGCAGGAACACGCCCATCTCCAGGGGGACTGTGGGCAACGGGCGGGCGTCAGTGGCAGTGGCCCCCCACCGTGCCCTCTCACCCGGACGTGCGCGGCCAAGGGGCAGGGGAGGCCGGGGCACGGTCACCACGGGACAGGCCGCCTCCCTCAGGGAAGGGGCAGCGCCGGACACTCACAGGTGAGCACGGTGGGCATGAGCGCGGCGAACATGAGGAAGAGCATGGAGAAGAAGAGGAAGCCCGAGTTGCTCAGGACCTTCTTGGCCTCGTTGCCGATGCCCAGGTAGAGCAGCCCGATGAGCAGCCCGATGCCGATGTGCGATGTGATGCGCAAGTGCGTCAGGACCTGGGGGCGCGGGCAGGGTTCAGGCCGCGTCCTCCCCACCCCCCCCCCGCCTCCGCACGCGCACACGAGCACGCGTATGTACATGGTGGGCACACGCAGGTCACACGCATGGGTCCACACACACATGCAGACACGGTGAGTACGCGCACATCTAGGCAAGTACGTGCACTTAAGTGTACGTGCACGCACGACGTGTGACATCTATCTACACGTCTCCGCACACACACTGAACACACATCGCGGGAACATTTTGTGACGCTGATTTCCCCGGAATGGGGGGCGTGTCAGGGACCGGGCGCTCAGGAGCCCCCTGGGGACAGTGGCCCCAGTGACTGTGGACCCCCACCTGCCACCTCCCAAAAAGGTGAGGCCATTCTCAGCTCAGCTGGACCAGGCCCCAGGGGCTTTGGGGCTCAGCAGCCCCTGGACTCCAGCCGCCAGCAGGCGAGTGGGAAGGGGGGGTGCCAGGACTGAGGCTGAGGACCTCGGGGTCCCCACGGGGGATAGGACGCCAGGGGCAGGCACCAGCAGCAGCCAGTCGAGAACTGGGGACACGGGCAGGCGCGGGCGGGGCCTCACCGAGTCCCGCATGATGCTGAGGAAGGTCCTTTTGAAGAGGATGCAGAACTGGGTGAGGCAGCTGGCCGAGAAGCTGTGGCAGCTCTCCATAGACGCCGAGTCCTGGGTGGGGCAGCAGGGGGCAGCAGTGAGCCGCCTGCCGGGCACCAGGCTGCCGCCCTCCCACCCTCCCGCCCAGGAGCCACCCAGGCTCACCTCCTCCGAGGGCCGGTGCCACAGGAAGGGGTTCACCTCGGCGTCAGCTGCCAGCTCCCGTTTGTAGTCCGAGTCGCACATGCCGTCACGGACGGCCCGCACCAGCCGCGTGTTCTGGTCGCCGTACTCCCCCGACGCTACCTCCATGACTGTGGAACAACTTGGGTCAGCGCCCATTTCCCCCGCCACCCCTGCCGGGAGCATCCCAGGGCACAATGCGGGCCACCGAGGCGGGACCCTCCACCTTCCACAAACTCGGGCCTTATTCCAGACACCGGGCACTCGTGGAGATGCACAGGGAATGGGGGTCTCAGGGCCCCCGATGGAGCACGGCCGGCCCCCAGAATCACACAGAGACGCTGGGTGCTGGGGTGAGGCCACTGCCCTGGCCCTCCGAGGGCTCCCAGGCTGGGTCAGCACAGCCCCGGGAAGGTGGGAAACACAGCCCGGACCTTGGGCACAGGGGTAACGGGATGGGCAGACCCTGGACACAGGGACTGCGGGACGGGGAGCCCAGTGTGTAGCGGCTGAGTGCTGTCAGCAGGGCAGGGCAGGAGGGGGCAGAGTGAGGGGGGTGGGCTCTGCGCCTGCAGGGCAGGGCCCAAGAGCTGCAGGCCTCGGGCTCCGCCCGGGCAGCGAGCACAGCTGCTGGCGGGAACTTCCCTAGGGGCTCTGGACCTGATGCCAGAGCAGGGTCTCAGCTACCTGTGCCCTGCCCAAGCCCCTGCCCATCCATCGCACGGCTGATTATGCCACGTCCAACACTTAAGCACCTGCAGGACCTCATCAGAAAGGTGGCTCAGTCCTGAAATGTCCTGATTTCCCCTTCTAGAAGTAACTTCCCAGCCTCTGGGGGCTGACAGCAGTCGGGAAGCTGCTCCCCACAACCCCTGGCTGGAGCTCCCGGGATTCCATCCGAGGAAAGCCAGCCCCTCCGCAGGGCATAGGGGGTCCTGAACGGGGACTCCGGTAAAACTGCTCCCCAGGGTAGGGACCCTTCTCCCCGCCTGGCCAGCCCAAGCACCACTTACCAAAGTCAGCAGGGTTGTGGTAGGTCGGGCAGTTCAGGCCTAAATCCCGCAGGTAGGGTACGAGATTCGAGACCTTCCCCCGGTAAACACACTGGCCTTGACTCAGGACATAAAGCTGGCGGGGCAAAGGAGGGGGGGTCAACACCGGCTGCTGCAGAGGCAACAGACCCCGAGACCCCACAACTGAGCCTCCACCCAGCCGCCTGTTCTCCTACTAACTCACCCACCAAGCATCCGCCCAACCGTGTGTCCATTTATCCACCCGCCCAACACCCTTCCACCAGCCCTTCTGTTCGTCTCTCCTCACCCCTACATCTCCCACCCACCCAGTTCTCCACCATTCACCCACCGGCCCACCTGTCCACCCATCCACTGTCAGCCCTTTGATTCGCCGCCGGCTCACCCGTCCAATCCATCCATCCATCTGCCCTTCCACCTCCCCCATCCCCCCGGCCTTCACTCATCCTTCACCCCAAATCCTTCCCCTGTGCTACCCTTGGGCCACGGGCAGCTTCACTCACCCCCCCTCACCCGAGCCTGCCCCCTGCCCAGCTGCCCCCAGCCCTGCCTCCCCTGCCGGCCGAGTGCCCGGTACCTGGTCGAAGAGCTCGAAGAGCTTGGCGCTGGGCTGGTGGATGGTGCAGATGATGGAGCGGCCACCCTGGGCCAGCCCCTTCATCAGTGACACCACCTGGAAGCATGAGGCGCTGTCCAGGCCACTGCAAGGCAGGGGACACCGTCAGCCACCTGCAGGAGCCCCCGGCTGCAGCCCCCAACCCTGGGCCCGGCAGGCAGGGCCAGGGGGTGGGGTCCCGGGGGGCGGCCTCGGTTACCTGGTGGGCTCGTCGAAGAACATGACAGGGGGATTGTTCACCAGCTCCAGCGCGATGGCCAGGCGCTTCCGCTGCCCGCCTGAGAGGCTGCCCGTCCGTGTGTGGGCACAGGGCAGCAAGCCCAGCGCCGTCAGGATCTCCTTGACCTGGTGGGGGGAGGGGGGCATAGAGGAATCAGTGGGACCTGCAGGGACCACTGCTCTGAAGCACGACCAGGGAACCCCAGCACCCTGGGACCCACGCAGCCCACGGAGCAGCCGCCCACGGGCACACATAGGGACAGACGAGGGCGGGAGGGGCCCAGCCAGGCTGCCGCTGCCCGTTGCTGCCTTCCAGGGCCCTCAGCAGGAAGCCCATCGGGGTTTTCGCTCTGGCAAATCCGGAAAAGAGCAAAACCAGGTTCCCCGACCAGGTCCGTGCTGGGGACCCCCTGGGGGCACCTCCCCGAGTCCCTCTGGCTGGGCACCGCCCTGACCACCTCCCAGTCCCTCTGCTGAAGTGGGCAGGGGGGGCCCCGGCTCCCCGGGGGGGGGCAGGAAGCTGGAGCTGACTGTGAGGGCCGAGGGGGCAGGCGGTGCCTGTGCTGGTGACCTGAGCCCAGCCCCAGCGCCCCCAGCTCCCTGCCATCGGGGTCCTGCTGGGAAAACCAGCCGGGCCTGATTCTGGCCCCCATGTCTCGGGGTGGGGGAGTATGATACCCCCTGACTCCACATTTGGCTGTCGGACACCAGCCACCCGAGGGTACAGCAAGGCACTGTGATGAGAGGGTCCCTGTACCCGGAACCACACCTACCAGCCAGTGTGCATGTGTGTATGTGTGCGTGTGTGCGCGTGTGTGTGTACAGGGCATGTGATGTGTACAGGTGCTGTGCATGTGAGGGAGTGTGTGCACGCGTGTTGCTCTGGGAGCAGGGGCATGCGCAGGCTTGCCCTGTGGTGTGTGTGCACCCCCAAACGCTGCTCTCCGTGGGCCCCCTGCGAGTCCAGGCAGGCACGAGTCTAAAGCCCCCTTTGTCCGAGGGTGGTGTGAGGGGCCTGCTGCCCGCGGCCCACCCTGCCCCTGCCAGGGACGGAGCAGCAGAGGGGGAAGGAGGGCGGGATGATCAATCATCCTGGAAACATGTTTATCTTGTGGCTTAAGGACTGGCTGATTGCCCGCCCCAGCCACACGTGTTCTCGGGAGCGTGGGCGGGGCCAGTTATTTTTAAACATGACAAAGCAGCTCCATTGTCACCATCTATAAAACACCTCAGAGCTGTGCTCAGCCTGACGGGCAGAGCCTGCTCCCACTCCCAAAGGTGGGCATCAGGCCCCAGGGCGCCCAGGCCAGGCCAGGTGTCACACTGGGGACCCAGGGCACACATGGCCACCGCCACCCCTACCTGCCGAGGGCCAGGTGACCCCATGGACACTCGGCTCCCTGCGCCCCCTCTGCTCACCCTCAGCAGGGCCTGGCACACACTCACCATCTCCTTCCTGCCCTCGTCCTTCTCCTGCAGCTTCAGGTGTGCTGAGACCTGTGGGCACACGGGCGAGGCATCAAGACATAGCCTGAGTCCCCGCAGGACGAGGCAAACAAAAACCTCGACTGAGGAAGGGTGGGTGAAAAACTGAGCATGGGGGGACGGCTTGTGAGCACAGAATCTGCTTGGCCTTGAGTACCCCACATAGTGGGCACCAGGGGAGTGAGCTGAGCCCAGGCATCAGGGAGACCACCAGCCTATTCAGCACTTCCCGAGCCATCTGCCAGACCTAGTAACTACTACTAGGGTGTGGCAGATGGGGGGGGGGGGCTGACCTCACCATCATGGCCTCCTACAATGAGAAAGGAATGGGGTCTGACCTCACCGTCATGGCCTCCTACAATGAGGAAGGAATGGGGTCTGGCCACACCATCATGGCCTCCTGCAGTAAGGGGGAATGACAGCCTGACCTCACCATCATGGCCTTCTATAGTGAGCAGGGGGAAGGGTCTGACATTATTATGGCCTTCTGCGGGGAGGAAGGGCGGAAATGGGGTCTGACCTCACCATCATGGCCTCCTTTAGTGAGGGAGGTGGGGGGGGCTGACCTCACCATTATGGCCTCCTGCAGCGAGGTGGTGGGACCTGACCTCAGCATCATGGCCTCCTACATTGGTGGCGGGATTATGGGTCTGAACTCAGCAACATGGCCTCCTACAGTGAGTGGGGATTGGGGTCTGACCTCATCATCATGTCCTCTTATGGTGAGGTATTAGGAAGCTGATCCCACCATGGCCACCTACAGTGGTGGGAAGGGGATTATGGATCTGACCTCAGCATCACGGCCTCCTATGGTGAGGTGTTAGGGAACTGACCTCATCATCATGGCACCCTGCATGGGGGAGGTAATGGGCCTGACCTCAGCATCATGGCCTCCTGCATGAGGTGGGGCATGGGGTCTGGCCTCACCATCATGGCCTCCTGCACGGTGAGGTGTGGGAGCAGCATGTCATCCTGCATGATGTAGCAGGACACCTTCCGGAAGCAGCGCAGGTCCCGGGGCTGCCCATTGATGAGCACGGCCCCCTTCATGCCGGTCTCCCTGCGGAGTGAGAGCAGCTGCTGTGCACCCCATCCTCTGGGCCCACCCAGCGGGGGTGGAGCGCCCAGCCTCCCAGTGAGGGGCCCTGGCAGGGCTACTCACCTGTACCCAGCAAGAATGTTCATGAGCGTGGACTTGCCAGCCCCGGAAGGCCCCATGATGGCCACCAGCTCCCCGCTGTTGAACTTGCCGGAAATGCCCTTCAGCAGGGTCTTGTAGCCTGCAGAGAGAGGACACGCTGCAGCTTCAGCACCGTGCAGACTCCCACACCATGGAAGTCCATGAGCGTTCACTGTTCTGTGCTTCAGAGCCCCCTGGGGCACCACTAGCGGGGTCCCCAGCCACGGTCACTTTCAGAGGCCCCGACATTGGGGAATGAGGGAACACGGTCAGGAGGGCCCCCAGCCCCATGGCCACGCCGGGGTGGGGGGGGGCGCTCCTGCCCTCGCTGACACCGTGACTCCCCCTTGCTGCCCCCACCCCGCTTTCCTGTGACGTCCGTCAGTGACAAGTGTTTGGCAGACGCCGCTGCCCTCTCACTAGTAAAACCCTGGGAGCAGGGGACAGCATGCACCAGAGCCCAGCGCACCGTCCAGCCCGGCCCCCTCCCAGCTCTGGTCCAAAGAGCTAAAAATCCCCCACCTGTGTGGGACCCCCCAGCTTCTCCTCACAGCGTCAGATGCTGTTAAGGACAGAAAAACAGGTCCTGGTGAAGACCCCTGACCAGTACATAACTAGGAAACAAATTGGAAGCATCTGAACCCGTCTCCTAGGGCCCCCAGCCCTGCACAGCCCAGGGGTCCCCTGGGAACCCCCCAAATCTGCAGATTCACACAGGGGCCCCATCATACTCTCATCTTTCACGGACAGACACCTGCGCTTCACCTGGCCCAGCTGCCACTGTGGTTGGATGGGGCATCCCTGGGGGCGGCGTTAATGAGACAGCTCGGAGCGGAAGCTGGGCAGGAAGCTCACGGCCCTACGTTCAGGCTCATTACGGAGAGTGAAAAGCCTCGGGAGGGCTGACAGCTGTCTCCGTGGGACCATCAGAGGGACAGATGGGGGGGGGCCGAGGGGCAGCCTCCCCTGCAATGGGGTATCGGTGACACTGGCCACAAACAGGGAACCAGGCCTGGGACAGAGCAGACGAGGACGAAGTCCCCACAGACAGACCAGGAAGCGCCGGGGGCTGCAGAGACCCCTTCTCTGTCTGCCTGAAGCCGGGGGGCAGGGGTTCAGGGGCTGGACACAGGTGGGGCTCAACAGTGGAGAGGGCTTCCTCAAGGCAGTTAGGGACACCAGGGACACAGGTGCGGTGCAGAGGACACTGAGTGTTGTTTTTTTTTTCTGACAAGGGGAGACTGGATACTGAGTCAGTGAAAACCATGGCCAGTGCCGGCTGCCTGGATAAGGGAAGTCCAGCCAGAGCAGGTGCGAGCACACGCCTGTCCAGTCTTGTCCTCCTCATTCCCTCCTCCTCCTCCTCCTCCTCCTCCTTGGGCAGTGCAGAGAAGGGACACGCTCTGTGGGCCACCAGGCCAAGGGGTGCCGTGACGGGGGCTCAGGGAGAGCTCGTATGGGGACGGTAATGCTAAGACATCTGCACGGGGGGGAGCAGAGGGGGAGGAGGGCGTCTGAGGAAGGGAGGGACTCGCGGCAGGGTGGGCAGGCTGGAAGTGCCCACTCTGGGGAGTGGACGCCTTGTGCCGGGGTGCCCACCTCAGGGAGCTTCAGTCTGTCTCTGCACTGCCCTGGCTCTGTCCCCTTCCTGTCCTGCTCTGGCCACCCCATCCGGCCGGGAGGGACCCCACCAACAGCAGAGAGTCTCAAAGCAAGTCAGTCAGGGCTCAGAATCCGCCACTGTCCAGCTCCTGGGCGAGGTGTGACCGGCGGGACGCGGGTTCCTGGCGCCCCACCAGGTGCACCGTCTCTACCTCTGGGATCAGAGCCAGTCCCTGGCGCTCCCTCCTGGCCAGCCTCAGCTCAGGGCTTGCGAGAACGCAGGGAGGACCCCAGAGAGGAGAGGGGCGTGCAAAGGGGCTGGAAACCTCCCCAGGGCAGGCCACCCCCAGCACAACTGCTCGGCCTGCGCATCCATCCCTCGGGCACAGCTCTGTCCTTCAATCTGCCCAGTGGATCTGGGAGCAAACATCTGGGCTCTGACGACCAGCAGCACCCCGCACCCTGGGGTTCAGTTAACACTCACAGGGCAGAGACCCCCACGGGCAGCTCGGAAACTCGTGCCCAGCCATGCCAAGGGAATTTCCACATCCTGCTACACCCCAGCCGCTTCCAAGACACACAGGTCACTGGGGGGCCCACTCGTGGGGCAAGGCCGGCCAGCATGTGCCCCCAGTGGGGCTCATCATCCTCTCAGTCGGTGATGAAGCCCCAGAGATGGCCCCTTAAATACAGGCCATGCGAGGACCGGAATGTTCCAGCCCGTTCCTGTGGCATCTAGCTCCTCAGACCAACTGCAGGGATGGCCCCTGGGGCACGCTGACCCCGCCCACATCGGCCAGCTCTGCCCCCGTCCCTGACACCTGGCGAGTGGGCGCCCTCTGCACCTGTCACAGCTGTTCCCACCCACAGTAGCAGGAGGCCCAAGACCAAGGTAGCGGCCACTCCCGTGTCCGGTCAGGCGGGTGCCCTGCAGGCCTGCTGTGTCCTCTAAACCACGCTGGAGGCACGATGGCTCAGGGTTCCTGTTCGCAAAGAATGAGCGTGGACAGGGCCACAGAGGCAGGGGTCACAGGCCAGGCCCCCGCTCGGCCCAGCACCAGCCCACGTCCCCTCCCGGCGCACGGGGCCCCCACAGCCCCACTCACGGGAACCTCCTGGGGAACAGAGAGCTCAGGGCTCAGGCGCTGGCTCCATCCCTAGCACCAGAGATGGTCCCCCAAAGCACTGCACAGGGCCGGGAGCACCACCGGATGTAACCAAGCCCCACCACCAAAGAAAGAGAAGCACAGGGAGCACTGGGTCCAGAGCCTGGCTCACTGTGGAGGCCAGCGGAGGCTGTGGTTCCATGCTGACCCGTCTCCTCACGGGCAGGACAGTGGCCCAGGCCACCACGCTCCCCGCCACACGGTGTCTCCAGCTCAGGCTCGTCCCATGGGACCACCACCTCATCTGCACCCCTCCCCGCAGCAGCCAAGCGCCCCCCAGTGGCTACAAGCTTCGGAGACCTGGAACCATGTCGTTCATTAGTTCATTCATTTAAAGCTCCAGGAGACACGGGATTCTCAGGATTCAAAATCTCACGGCATGTGTCCCCTGGTGAGGGGTAAAGGGTGTTTTCTGTCGGTGATGACCAGACCGTGGTCCACATTCACATCTGAAATTCCACCAGCCCCTGGGCACCAGGGGCAACCCCTGGGCTCCACCGGGACACAGCACCCAGCCATAGCATGGGGACAGGGACCCTGCCCTGGAGCCTGCCCCTGAGGGACGACCAGCATTGCTCCAAGGCTGGGAATTTCCACCCATGATGGCAGGAACAGAGCCATCACATAAACAGTCCCCTTAGCTGAGCTGGAATCTCCCAGTGCCGTGAGTAGGAGGGGAGGGGACACTGTTGTGAGGGAAAGCCGCCAGCAGGATAGCAGGTGGGGCCTGAGGGGGGCAGAGACCCCCCGACCAGGCCCTGCTGGGGTCTCCCGCCTCCCTCCTGCCACTTCCCAGGGCTAGTGAGGCACCTTCTGGCTGCATTACCATCACCACCATCAGGATTCAAAAGTTAGTCCCTCCCATGTCAGGAGCCCGCAGCCACACTGACCTGGGCTGAACGCCTGCATGCACACACAAACACACTCACACACTCACATACACACACTCACACACATACATATTCATACATACACATACACTCACACATACAAACACATACACTGACACACATACATACACACCACACACACATACACACTCACACACTCATACACACACCACACACACTAACTCACATACACACAAACACACACACACTCACATACACACACATACACACTCATACATACACATACACTTGCACACAAACATACACATACACACACTCACACATACAAACACATACACTGACACACTCACATACATACACACAAACCACACACATACACACATTACACACACATACACACTCATACACACACCACACACACTAACTCACATACACAAACACACTCACACTAACACACCACACACATACATACACATACTTAACACTCATACGTACACATACACTTGCACACTCACGCATTCACACACATACACACTCATATACATACACTCGCACACATACACTCACACACATTCACACATACACACACACACACTCACACAGATACACACTCCCACACAAACTCACACATTCATACACACACATATACACATTCACACATATACACATTTGCATAGTCACACAGACACACTCATACATACATTCACACACTCAGCTACACCATCACACCCTCGCACACACCTGGGCGATCCCATCTGTGCACAGCCCCGTCCTGCAGGCTCTGGGCTCAGGGGCCACCCCGACCTCGCTTCCAGGGAAGCACCCCCAGGAAGCTCTACCAGCTGGGGTCTCACCTCCCCTTCCTCGGCTCCTGCGCCCCCCACCCCCGGCTGGCTGAAGCATCCCTGATGCTCTGGTCACCGGCCTGGCGGTGGGGCTGAGGCGGAACGACAGAGCCCCCATTCCAGGGAAGAGAACAGACCCCATCTGGAGACACACGGAGAAAGTGTCCCAGCTGGCAGTGGGGGGGACCCTGGCACGAATATCCAGATATCTGGATGTTTAGGCCCGTCCCAGAGGGACAGGACAGGGGCTAAGGCACCTGCCTCCCCTGAGCCCACCAGGACTGATCCCTGAGCACAGAGTCAGGAGTCAAACACGCCCCCAAACAGGAGCTGAGGGAGCTGCAGCTGGGTGCCAGGGGAAGCAGCCCGGCCCACCGAAGCCCCAAACCAGGTCCCAGACAGCCTAGGGCAGACACAAAGGACGGTCCAAGGGGGGCGGCGCCAAGGCCCTGTCTCCTGGGACTGGCGCAGAACCCGAAAAGGGAAAAGGGGCAATGCCCCAGAGGCGCGGGGGACGCCCCAGCACTGCCCAAAGGACCACAGGGGCTGGGTGACGGCAGCAGGGCAGCGCCCAGGACTCGGAGGGGCTCCTCAGGGCACCCGGGGCAGAGACCGGGTTTGCCATCACCCTCAGCC